TAATCTAGGTAAAATTGTAGACCAACATCTTTAAAATGGATGCCGTCTGTGCGAAAGAACGCAGCCTTTGCGTCGATATTCGGTTTTATGATGTCGCCTTTGCCTGGCGGCATTATTAAACAAGTTTGCTTCTTAAAAAAGAAGCATGCGAGAGGTTTTTTTACAGCTGTTGAAGATTTATTTAATTGTTCAAATAAAAGGAAAGTAAGAACTTCTAATAAGTCAAATGGCATTTGCGAATAAAAGCAACATATCGGCTATTTCCGTCAGTTTTTCAGATTAGGAATATTCGGCGAGGTGTTCTTAAGATAAAGGAGCAGCAAAATTTCTATGGTCATAAAATAGTGCGTGGTGATATTGTTACGAAATTTCTCTGTTTTAACAGAAATTTGTCTTTACACGTTTTCGCTGAAAATGTCTATCATTTAGAACTCTATGCTTGTATATGAAAGTATGATTATAAAATCAATTAAAATAAAATTATGCATCATAATTATATACTAGCAACAGTCTAAAGCAAATTTAACACCTAAACTACAACAACTCAACAACAACATCTCTTCAACTTTAATAAACTCAAAGAACCCCAACAAAAAGCGCATGCTGCTAGCATGTGCAAAAGTGGACTGGCGCTTGACCCACTTGTGGAAACCCGTCTGCACGATTCTTTGCACGACCTGAACACATGCCTTAACAATGGCGCACAAGTAGTTCAGGTATACAGACTGTTGTACAACACAAACATAAGTAAAACAATATATAATTGTTTACTTAATAGCAAAACATTTGTTCAGCATTGCATCTTATGTACTCAATACAAACATGAATTGTTGAAAAAGGATTGGGTCCGAAGCTTTATAGAAATGCTTTGTTTTTCAGTATTCCACTTAAAAACCCAATCAAAGATGAAACAGTATAACTTAGTGCAGTATAAACTTGCAAAAAGTAATTATATTTGTACTTTTTATGGAATACAAGATTGCTACACTAACTATTCTTTAAACTTGTCAACAGCAGAAAAATAACAATCCCTTATAGGGACCGCTAAAGCTAAAAATAGAAATACATATAAACATCTCCTTCTACACAACTAATTGATGGATGATCACTACATTTTGCTTGTAACAAAAACTTTGTTAACAGTATAGCTGTCACTTAGGCATTCCTTTTTAAACAAATATAGGTTATTTATAAATACTGCTCTTACAATATGTATGTACCTTTAACTTAAGTGGTATTGAACTAATTGTAACAATGTTACATAAGGATTAATAAAACTTTTATATTATCAAATATATTAATACCGTGGACAAGGTTTACACTGACAGATCAAATGGAGGACTCTGTAATGGATTCTTAGTAACTGCAACTTCAGGTCAATGAAAAAGGTTACATACCAAATTTGGAGTCAATCAAACATATAGTGATCAAGTTATGCCCTTGACAAGCCTATTAAGCAAGAAAATTAGCAAAGGGCAATAACTCAAAATCATGAAGTGCAGAGTAAAAGTTCGTTTACACTGCACTATTTCTCAATGAGATCTATAATCCAATTAAAGTTTCAAGTCAATAGCTTTTAAAGTGTTGAATTGGCCTGGACAAAATAAAGTAATATGATTTACAAAGGACAATAACTCTATAGCCATGAAGTGCAGAGTACCGAATCTTGTTCTTAATGAGATCTATCATCCTATGAAGTTTCAAGTCCAAAGCTTTTATAATTTAGGTGAAATGGCTGGACAAAAATAAAGTAAGAAAATTAACAATGGGCAATAGCTCAAAAATCATGGATGTACAGAGTATCGGTTTTTATGCACTGCACTTTATCTCGATGAGATCTATCCTTAAAGTTTCATGTCCATAGCTTGTATAGTTTAGAAGAAATGGCCCGTACAAAAATGAAATATGAAAATTAAAAAAGGACAATAACTAAAAAAAAAGAAGTGCTGAATACTAGTGTTTACCATATGCATATCAGGAAAATCAATCCACCCCCAATTTTGACCCAAGGGCTTTTATTTGAATATACTTGGTAGACACCTACTAGAAGATATTTCATGCTTAGTATCTAATCTCTGGCTATTTGGGTTTTTTAAAAAAATATTATAGGTTCACCTGAGGACAATGTCTTCAATGTAAGCTTTTTCCGTCGTCCCTGGGTGTGTGCGTCAGCAATTTCTTTAAGCAACTTCTCCTCCTAAACCACTTGGCCAAAATTGGCCCCAAGCTAGAGGTCATTGATTCTCATTATAAAGATATATAGTAAAAACTTTAAAACAAAATCTTTTTCTCTAAATTGATAAAGGCTAGATATTTGATATTTTGAATGAAACACTGCTTAGTGAACCTCCACCAAGATTGTTCAAATTATAGCCAGGGATCACGCTTGTCCTATTTTTTAGAGATAAGTTACTTTTCCTTTCAAGACGTTATTGTGAACACGGAGAAGTGGGTACATTTATAAATATTTATAAGATTTAAGTTCATGATGGCCAAATGGAAATAAAAACAAATGCATGTATATAACAGTTTATTGTAAACAATAAATATGTGTAACAATTTTAGTTTCAATATATTACAAATATTGTTAAATGATCTGCTGTCCTAATTCTAAACATACTTAGTCAAATTACACTAAATAAACACTTTTACAAACTCATTTTAACCCTTGTACCTCAAAAATACTGAAAAACAGTGCTTTATCACACCAGTCCAACATGTCATCATGAAAATGAGTAAAACGTTTTTCGTACAGTATCTTGAATCTACAAACATACAAAGCTATTGAACATCACAAATACTGAAAAAGTGTGCTTAAGCATGTATATCAGTCAAACAGGTAAATAGACATGGCTAACACTCAAATTAATCTACAGACTGACAATTAAGCCCCTGTACATCATAAATACTGAAACGAAAAGTGCTGTTCTATCATCATTTTAGAATTTTCTTCTTAAAAGTACATGTATTTAATGGTCATTATTTTAAAATTTTCTTCCTTAAGTACATGTATTTAATGTGTTAATATATGCACTGACATTTTAAGTGGAAACACACAAATATTCACTGGCACTTTTAAATAACACAATTTCTTTCTAACAAAAATACCCTCTAGCATTTTCAGTCAATCAACCTGTAACAGATTCTGAGTAGAATATCAACAACTGTAAAGTTTTCTTTCACACTTAGTCTTCCACTGTAATAGGTTGGGAAAGTCACAGTTTAATGTCAGTGCCATTCTCTGAAATTCTCATGAGCGAAACAAGTCTGTTGGTATTCAGTCTACATCTAAGTTTTATGTTAATACGGTCCTGTGTAGAAAACCCTCATTCATGAGCACTTTTCATGGTAATGACAAACAACATTGCAATTACTAACACATATTTGGGATTTCCTTCTCTTACTTCTTGTTTCATTATCTCACTATTTTCAAACAAAAAAAGGTTAAAACAAACATCAGTATAAATAAAATTCTAATGAGTTCTAATGAATGCTGTTTAATATCTACAATTTATTTTTTGATTGATTCAAGCTCACATTTGTTTTATCCCCAACATATATTGAGGATAACTTTTCAATAGTAAACGAAGTAAGGAAAAATATGTTTTAAACCAAAACAATTTAAATTTGTCTCTTTTAAAAACTATGTAATTCTTTTACTTCTTGCTTTTCCCCAAAATTTTTCATATTACTTCCAGATTTTGACACACAAAAGTGCATGTTTCTCATTACTATATTTTCTACAAGGTTCATTATCATACTACATGTAGTTTAAAACTTATATCCGTGATCTTCATATATGTCGGGAGTAAGAAAACGAGCCAATTCGTGTAAAAACGTTCCAATAACGTCAACTTCAGATACGTGCTCATTCTCATAAATTACAATGTCTGTCCCCTGTTGGTAACCTTTTACATGTATCCAATCTACTAAACCGTTGCCTCTTTTCAAAACAATGAACTCCACACGTCTATGTTCTAACAGTGTCATTAGAATAGCCATAATCTGGTACAGAAATAGAAAACAGAAACCTCATTTTTTAAATTGTTCAGTTTATAAAATATTTATAAATTTAATACCACAACGCATTCAAACATAAACTTACGTATTAAACATACATTACTTACTTTTTTATTGAAGTTGCCAGTCTTAAAGCAATTGCTAACTCGAACTCTCATTGTCACTTGATCTGCTGGATTATAGGACATTATTTCTAATGGCTTAACTACACGTGTCTAACTGCCATTTCGTATTATCACACGACATTCTCCTGTAAGAAAAAAACAGGAAAAAGTCCTTTTTGTTTTGAACCATTGAAAGTACAAACAATTTATCTAAAGAGATCTGCGATACATTAAAATTGGTCTTTCTTAAAGTTAGTTCGTGGACGGATTTAACAGTAAAGACATGTCCTCTATATAATAAGTTTCATTCACATTTGGTAAAGGGTTATGGAGATATGATATAAATAAATTATGTTACAGACAAGACGGACATACTCAAATCGGTGCAATAATGACAACAACTGCTACAGGAGTAAAAAAAAAATGAATTTATATTTACAACTTGAAAAAAAAAGAGCGAAATTTTGTATATTTCAAAAAGAATGAACTAATTCAAAGAATACATACATAAATATATTTATATACAACTCACCAAAGTGATATGATCCCGTACCATCCATTACCAATAAATTTAAAACATCACCGAACTTCATCGTAAAACAAATTATATTTGTCATACAGCTTAACATGAATGCTGCAACTTGACCACATATATAATCCAAACTCATTGTTAAAATGAAAAAAAAATGTAAATAATATGAATTAAACGTACTGTTAACTAAGGGTCTCAAACAAGACTGGACAAGTTCTTACAAGTTTATACATGAAATTAACATTTTAGGGTTTACTTATTTTTGTCATTGTTCATCAGCAAACAACCTTAGCCGGCCGAGGTGTTATTATTTACTTTCTAGCCAGAAAAGGTGTTAGTATTTACTTTTCAAGGGTCCCGGTCAGCGAAATGTTTACTTATTGCAAACAGACTGCTGAAATAAGGATTACAATTTGTAGAAAATGTTGCAACTTTCGTGTGTAAATTTTCCTTATAAACGTATTCAATGTCAGTGATTGGTGGTTATTTTTAGAAACGGTTTGTCATTGGTTACTATTTTTAGAACATGATCACGTGACTTTACCAATTCATGAAATCGTTTGGGTTGCATTCTGAACACTGTAACGCTCCCATCTGATTCACATGATCGCTTTGTAGGTAACAGGGCACCACAGAGTCCAGTTCTGGTAGATTTTTACCGATGTCAGGTATTACTTCTTTCAATTTGACGTACTCTGCTGGTCTAAGGCACAATCCTTTCTTAGTTGGCACAACATCGTCCTTGGGCTTCCAGTATTGTCGAATATCGACGCAAACACACCCAGCTTTAATCGACATGTACACGTTTCCTCCAAGATGAGCATTGTACACTTGTTTATTTCCTAGAGATTGATCCACAAATTCCAACGCGTCCACAACATTTTTCCATCTCATCAACGTTAAGCTGATGCCTTCTTCGTCGGTTTATCTCCTTGCCATTCCCTTAAGTCTACTCTCAGCTCGCCTTTTTTATTCATCCAAAAGAAA